AGGCCAGAAAAGGCAACCCACTAGCCGATCCACTCGATCTGTCTCAGCCTCCAAACAGAAGAAAGCAGCTACCGCCAAATCAAGGAAGGATGACGCCCCTGCCACAGGTAAGGCCTCGAGCGACGTTCCAGCGCCACCCGAACCAGCACAGCGGACACCAGAAATGTCACCAGAGAGGCAGAAGACCGGCAACCACGAATTTCCTGCAACCATATTTCTCTAACTGATCGGCTTAAGCAGATCACAGTTACCACACTTTCAACTTCTTCTTCTTCTTCTTCGATCCTTCTGTCAGAAAACTTATATCAGGAGGCCGGTAGCCTTTATGAAAGCTATCGTGCAATCCATATCCTCCTGTGTACCATACAGTTTTGTCTTTATTGTGGTTGGAACAGGCCAGATTGCGTCTTTGTTGTCAGCATACAGTTGACAGTGTTGGAGCACATGCTCAGCATTTTCGGGTGCCACGCTGCAGGGACACGTCTCCGTATTTCCTACACCGAAAAATTTGAACATATGTTGACGAAATCTGTTGTGCCCTGTCCTTAGTCTGAATATAATAGACTGTCCCTCTCTAGAGAGGCGATGAAGTGAGTCTTGGGGAGAAAATCTGGTGTGGGTATCCAGCCACCTTTCTTGGATACTAGATTGTATTAGTGTTTTCATCTCTTGGTGGGTTAAGTCGCTATTTGGTTGTACCATGTCGCTGCCGCTTCTGGCTAATCTGTCCGCTATTTCATTGCCTTCCAAGCCACAGTGACCTGGAATCCACTGCAGTACAGATTGTTCTACTGAAGAGCCTAAGTAAATCAGCTGTTGCGTTAAGTCTACAAACTGAGTGTCTTTTGGGTTAACAATTGCTTGTAGAACTGACATAGCATCAGTCAGAAAGACCACTGCTATATTTGCTGTGCTGTTGTCCATTCAGGAAAGAACATGCCGCTAGAAGTGCTTCTGCCTCTGCTCTGTAATTTGAGGAATATGAACCTGTTGGTACAGCCTGGTTGATTTTTAAACCATTTGGGCATTCTATGAATATTCCTCCTCCTCCGTCTCTTACTGCTCTCTTGGCTGAACCATCTGTATACACTCGAATCCAACTCTGGTGTGGGTAAAGTCTATTGATCTCTCCTTCTGTAGTTGATTTAATATCAGTGCTGCTCATTGATGATTGGGAGGAGACCCCTGTTACAGTGGTTCTGACTGTTGGTAGGCAATCCCTAAGCCAAGCGGGGCAGTCGTTGTAAGGTTTAAGTGGAACATTTGGTATTATGGGAGGGAGTTTAAGGACAGCGAGCTTGGCATTTGCGTTCTTAATAAAGCAAGTTCTCTTTAGTCTAGCCTTCTGGGGTTTCTGCAGTCGGCTGTACATGGGTTGTTCTTGAAAGTGGTGGTATTTGGAGAGCTGGGTGAGGATCTTTGTGTCTCTCCTATCTTCCAGATTATGGAGACCAGTAATTGTTTCCATATCTTATATGGGCGTGGAGCGCATTGCCCCTGTCATAATACGGAGAGCATGGTTTTGGATCTTTGAGACATTTTGAAAATTTGATTTAGCTGCTGTGCCCCAAGCAGCTATTCCATATTCTAGTGTTGGCCTCACATAGCCTGTATAGGTCCTCTTAAGGACATTGAGGTTTGCCCCCCCCCCCCCCCCTAGTCTGTTCCAGCTAACTTCCTCATCAGTTGTGTTCTCTTGAGTCCCTTGCTCTGTGTCTTTTCTATCTGTTTTCTCCATGTGAGTCTTGAGTCAAAGGTTACCCCTAAATATGACGGTGAGTCATCATGTATCAGTGCCTGACTGCCATATCTAGCTGCAGATCCTGCTGGGCAAAAGTGCGGTAGCGAAAATCAGAAGAACTCGAGGGGGCGTGATACTCCATAGAACCATACGTACCTCAGGCATGCTAGATGACATCAAACAGAACAGCAAGAACTCCGACGATCCGATGAGATGACCGTGACTGCCACAATTTCTCAGAATCCAGACGATGGGTGGGTGGGAGAGTCAGTCTGCTCTGGAACAATGAAGAAATACTGGATCAACTCATGAAAGACAACCCTAATAATATTTAAGTTCTTTCAGGCGTGCCCTGAAAAAGAGAGACGTTCTGTAAAGGACTTGTTGATAACATGTACAAACAAGTACTTTTAATGAGAATGTACGTACTTGGGTAAAGGAGGCTGCATGGCTTCCTTACACAATCATTAATGGTGGGAAAAGGGGGAGGGGGGTGCTTAGTGGCCTCAGCGTCGCGGGATCCTGCAACCCCTGCCAATGATCTCTTCCTGGCCCCAAGTTTGATGCGTACAAACATGTCTTCTATAAACGCGCTACTTTCGTGAGTCTGGTGAAAATAAAATGCAAACTGTGGGATAAATCTGTCAGATAGCAGCCTGTTGACTACATTTGCTTATCTCCGAGAAACAAGCAGGTAATGTCTGCATCCTTTCTTTAAATTTCTGTTTGTTATGTTAATAGACCACTGAAAGCGGTCTGCAAGTATATTTACTTGATGTAGCATTTCATTTCATAAGTAGGATAGAAGAGAAATATTATCAGCGAAGTCAGGTCATAAGACTGTTTTGTAGAGGTCAAGTGAGTTCTATTCCTGGTCTTAGCTGTTGCTGAATGAATGAATGAATTTCTACCCCACCAGGACATCACACAAGCGATAAACACCCGATGACACAAAGTGCCACCATGTGGATGAGGATCACCGTGGAGAGGTCCCAGAAACCGCGTTCAGACAATTGGCCATATTTATGGCCTGCCTATATTGCGACCCCTGGCAAAAGCCAGAGTGGGGCTGCAAATAACAAAAAATTACATCCTGAAAAGGACGTAAGGATAAGAAAGCACGAAACAAAAACAGCTGTTGCTGTCTTCATAATCCAGTCTTATGTCGGCAGAAATAGGAGACGTGACAGTAGACATCCGTGTCGCATACCTGTTCTTTTTTTTTTAAATTTCCATGGGTTGGTTGGTTTTGGAGGCTATTATCTTTGCAGGATAAGTTAGCAAACCCCAAGGCCTACCCTCGGTGGCTTTTAATGGCTAGTCGTTTACCTGTCAATCGTAGAATGTTCGGTTCAAAAGCACATCTAAAGGATTTTTATAATTGACCCAAGGTACCCAGCATGAAAAATATACACAGAAGTAAACAGATGAGGAACAATAAAGACCAAATATATACTATAAACAAACAAAGATGTATCGTAAAACTTGAACAACAACTATATAACACGGGCAGAATGCATCTCAAACCAATTAAATAGCGCCATAGTTTACAGAAATTTAAATTATCCAAACGATAGACACGGCTAACGAAGACACGATTGTTTGGGGGGAAAAAAGGGGTGAGCACTAGCTGGTCATGCGTCTAAGTACAATTGTTTCAGCAGCGAGACGCTGTCGTCGTTTGGCGGTGATGGGTTCAATTCCCGGCATGGTGAACTATAGCTTTCAATTTCAAAGTTGTCTAATAGGTTTTTCTACCGTCAGTGGCGTGGAAAAGGATCTTTACCTTATGTCACTCACCAGGCTAATAGATGAATGAATAAAGAACTTACATCCCTGCACTCGGGACATTCCAGTAAGTGCTCTGTCTCCTTCATCAAGAGCCAACGAAAAGTCAAGATGCTTACAAGTTGCAGATTGAATAAAAGTTCGCATATGTTTAGACCGCTCGCTCGTTTCCCTTTACGCCCGCATGACCAGGTGTGTAGATACAGGTGAGGGAGGTTAAGTGCGATTTTCGAATGCCTTCTACCCGTTCAGAGCGCATAGCGCCTGTTGCCACCTTCTGAAGCATATTCTTGGAGTCTGATACAATTACTGCCTGGTGGCGGTTTGCTCTAGAAGCAGCGGCTATTTCCATGGTCATGCTTGACGTGGCTGTTTGGTAAGCGCCGCTGTCCCCCTATGTTGTTTCCCCCATTCTTTGCGCTGTGTATGCGCTTCACGGATCCATCTGTGTAGATGATGATATCTTCTGTGTCTGGATGCTGATCTATCAGTTCCCCTACACCTGTGTCTACGGCCGCAGGAATGTGATCCCTGCAGTACCTTCCGAGTGTGATGACAACCTTAGAGATGCCATGCATGTCTACTGGTGTATTCGTCCATTCTTTACCGTGACCTATCACGTCTAGGTTACATACCTGCTGTATTAAATCCTCAGCCTTTGTCATCCAAGAGCGGCCTCTTTTGAGACGCGTTCCTTTTGAGTCGTGTATAGCTTTGTGCAATGGTGGTTAACGTCTGCCGATACCCTCATGTACACCTTGACCTGTGCGACTTTGTATCTTTGTACTATCTATTTGTGCCCCGCCCACACTGTTCACTCGTCACAAAGGGCCCTTACAACATCTAGCTTGCCAAGCATCAGTTCATCACTAAGTGGCGTAGAACTAGTCTTTGCGTCCAAGTTTTGCACGACACGTATTAATCTTTCTCTTCTTTTGTCTAGTTTCTGCTTTGCGTCTCTAGTCGCATGTTAACAGATGATCGCTCGGTTTCCTGGTAGGCTGTGTTGTTGTGGAATCTCAAATACCAGTGACTCCTTCACTTTGGCTTTATATTAAATTGAACGATAGGCATTGTTCCAACAGTTTGTGTAAATTCGTCATTTCTCACATGATCTCTTCTAATTTCACGTATTAATAACACGTAATATTTCAACTATACGGTTACATAACTAGTACAGACACCGTTATTTATTTAACGCGATCGCTTTGGTTTAAAATTTTAACTGGTGTTAATCTATCCTAGAAAAATTATATTTACATAACCATAAAGAAACATAAAAATTACGTTTGTTAAGATTGTAAGGATATAACGATGCTTAATATGAAATTGATAATCCAAGACGACGGACATTAACGATTACTCCCTGGTCAGCAAATAGCGACAAGGAGGAAATCACAAGATGGTATCTCGAAGTCTGTTGTGACAAACATTCATACAGAATGTTTCTGTACAGGAGGAAAGATAAGCTATGACATCACGCATTGAGTCAAAAGGCAGTTCAGTACCTCAAGCACGCGTAAAAATCATTAGTAGTAAGCGTGATTACTTCAACATTGATAAAATGCAGCACAGTTATGGTTCGGGATCTCTGTTCGTTGACAACGACGCCTCCGATGAAGACCTAGACAGCGATAAGGAGAACCCTATCTATAACAACAACGCGGCGGGGATGGAAACCGATAATGCATACAATAGTGAGGATGAGGAGTTGCCTGTGTCTGTGTCAAAGAGTGTGATGAGATTGACGTCATCGTCATCTAACAATAACGAATCCGTTCATAGACTTTTGCCCGTCAACGTTGGCATTGAAGACGACGAATCCATCCGGGCGTCGTTTATTAATTCTATAAAGATAGAAAGTAGCGGTGCTACATATAAATCGAAAGTAGCCGATGGTAATCATGAGAATATTGATTTTGTGGATATGGCAATATCTCGAGATGCATGCACGGACCTAGCTGATGCAGATTCCACCCAGGTGGACGCATACAAACAGAAACAACAAAGAAAATTAAAATATACCCCTAAAACTATCAAAAACATTGCTAAAGAAAAGAATCAGTCTAAGTTAAAACCATCAGTGAGCTTTGGTTGGTTTGATGTGCTTATTGGTATTGTAGCCGTGACTTTATTTTTTGTAGACATTGGCACTGATATAGAACTGGCAGTTCATTATTTTAGGAACAGACTTTGGGTGTATGGTGGTGTGACAACTGGGTTCATCGTGGGACCATCTCTTGTCACTTGCTTTCTTGGATTGCACTGGTATCTTCTTGATTACAACAAGGAAAAGGAAGTGTTAGAGAGGCTGGAGAAGTTGGGGAAGAAGTCTAAAGCTTACAAGACACCAGGCTACGTTTGGTTTTTGAGGTTCTTCTTCACATTACTGCAGTGTGGCCCAGTAATCAGGTAAAAATTCAGCTTTTTAACTCTTTGTCCCAAGGGTTTAGCATCACAGGTCCAAGGGGTAGTAAAGAGTGACTAAAATATACGCATCTTGGCGTTAATTGAGCTTCTCTGTAGAAACCAATAAGCTTCTGATGCGTTTCTTCTGACTCAAAGAGTTAATTACTGTAAATAAAAATCTTTTTTTTTCGCTATCTGAGCCATTAAGGTATGCCATGCAGATATCACAAGTCTCCATTTATCACAATATATATGACTGTTTTTTAATAGAAACATTCTGTGTTTGTGTGTGTGTCTGCGTTGCTGGGCTCTGTTTAGGTGAACAAACAATAAACCAACTGCTCCCTAAAAAGCATGTCATGAAAGTTAACTAATTAGACGTGTTTCCTTTGAAGTAGGAATACATCTGCCTGAGAGGTGAGGAACCAGCAGTCTGCATACAGATGTCAGATCTGTACAATTTATGTGCACACAAAACTCAGGTTGTGGAGCAAGACTAAAGTGGACAAACAACCAACATTTTTCGCTGCAGTTTACAGCCAGTTATCACTGAGAATAAATAGAATATAAAAGTTTAAAAGTATCTACATGAAAGGCAAGGAACCAAGAGTCTGCATATAAATAAGCAAGATTTGTAAAACAGATGTGCACAAAATAACTCAGTTTCTAGAACAAGACTAAAGTCTAGGGGTGGATAAACAACCAGAACTTTCCACCGGAGTTTTCAGCCGGTGAATGCTAAGAAGAAGAAAATAGCTAAACTGACATCTCAATTTATGGCCCACAGTGGATTAAGCACATAACCAGAGATCACTGAAGAAAAAGGAGAAAAGGCCTTTAATATGCTGTGTTGTGATTTACAGCTAGGCTGTGATATCTGCGCTTTCGACTCAACACATTGGATTTCAGAACAACGGTTTTTAGGCTTTTTTTAAGACATGCTTGTTAAGGCGTATTCTTATTGTCACCCAGTAAGGGGCATCAAAACCCACACTAGAAACTTCATTTGTGTATAATATTTTGATTTGTTTCCCCCAGGGTTATTGAGTACTTATTCTGTGGTTACAAAAGTCGAAGTAAGGATTTGGATATCAGAGAACGCAAGCGGTACTACAGATTGATGCTATATGAAGATGTAGACAGTTGCTTACTTCGGCTCTTTGAAAGCTTTCTAGAGGCAGCCCCTCAACTGACCTGGCAGCTGTATATTGTGATTGACCTGAAACCGAAAGAAGATGTTGTTGGAAGTAAGTCTGAATTTGCCAGGCAAATTGTGCAGTGTATTGTTTGTGTCCACATTATTTAGAATTTCAACTTGAAATACTGTTCTGAAAGTCTTGAGTTGGTTGTTAACTGTCGTTCCCATGCAGGATGCAGTTTTTCATTATTTGAAACCCCACCCTGCAGAATATAGCCAAGCCATACATATGGGAAAACAAGATTACAAATGAAAAACTGAGGAGGAAAACAGAATGTGCATCACAGGCAAATGTTATCAAAGTAAGATGATGGAGATGGCTTGGACATGTTTGCAGAATGTCTTGTGACAATGGCAAAATCAGCTCTCCAGTGGACAGCAGATGGGAAAAGGAGTCGTGGACGACCTAAGGAAACCTGGAGAAGGACAGTAGAACAGGAAATTAAGGAATATGAACTGTCATGGGATACCATGGGCAGAAAAGCAGCAAACCGGCAGCAATGGAGATCACTTGTGAATGCCTTATGTGTCAACAGCCATTGCCTTATGTGTCAACAGCCATTGCCTTATGTGTCAACAGCGACATGAAGAGGATATAGATATAAATAGATATGACCTAAACGGCTGAAACCAGTTTCTGGGACCTCTCCACGAGTGATCCTCACCTGCATGGTGGCACTTTGTGTCACCAGGTATTTATCGCGTGTGTGATGTCCTCGTGGGGTACAACATGCAAGCAAGCAAGTTGGTTGTTATTGTTGGCACCTTTCCATCTGTCCAGACGATAGTGTCATATCATGTTATGAGGTGGCATGAAACTCACAACCCATGGTAATGGCAAGTGTGACTAGCAAGACCCGCCTACGTTAAGGAAAGTGAATTATTACATAGGATTTAAGGACCGTCGTCAACATTTGAATTTAGTACTGCTTCTCAGACGCTTAGCTGTCATCATTTCTGCAATCATTACTTTTTTCATTCTCATTTCCTTCTTGATGTTCCCTATCATGGCATTTTGTTCCCATGAGTCCGCCTCATCACCTGTATCATTCATGTCCTGTTTGCACACATCTTTATATCGTAGTAGAGGTCGGCCTCGACGTCTTCTACCCATCTTTAATTCACCATAGAGGATGTCCTTAGGGAGTTGATCTAAGCTGTAGCTTAGTTGTAAACCTATTGGCAGCCCTTGGTTGTTGGTTGTCTGCCTGTTTGATCTGCCTGAGAAAGTGATATATAGGTCAGAATCTGTGGCTTAGTTGTAAACCTATTGGCAGCCCTTGGTTGTTGGTTGTCTGCTGTTTGATCTGCCTGAGAAAGTGATATATAGGTCAGCATCTGTGGCTTAGTTGTAAACCTATTGGCAGCCCTTGGTTGTTGGATGTCTGCCTGTTTGATCTGCCTGAGAAAGTGATATGCAAGTGGATATATTTATATATAGGTCAGCATCTGTGGCTTAGGCATTGCAAACATGCTTCATAATGCCCTGGTGGCAGGTTTGATCCCAGCTGCTGGCGATTTTTTGTCTTGCATTGATTTTAACAGTGGTATTGGGAGCTGACCACTCAGAAAGTAGTGGCAAACTACTGAACATAAAATTTTCCTAGAAAAAAAAAACATCAAAAAAATGCTGGGTCATACACACACATACACACACATGCACATATATATATATAAATAGAAAGAGTTTTAGGTCCTGCAAAAACAAGACAATGATTTAAAAAAATAAAAAAGATAAATGCAAAGCAGACAGTAATAAATAAATGAGAGCACAATATTGACAAATAATGAAGGGCATCTTATTTAACTTACTTACTTACTTAGTCGCTCCTCTTCTACCTTGGGGTGTAGAGGTTTGCCAGAGAGATCGCCAGACGTCTCTATCAGCAGTTTTCTTTCTGGCTTTGTTCCATTCCAGTCCTCTGTCAGTCAGGGACTGTCGGATGTTGTCTTCCCAGCGCACCCTGGGTCGTCCCGGAGGTCTGGTTCCCTGGTTCTTAGCCTCCCATGCTTGCCATGGTGGCCGATTTTCTCCCATTCTGCACACATGTCCAAACCATCGTAACTGTGACTGATCCACTCGGGTTAGTAAGGGCTGGGTATCAAGATCTTGACGTATTGTCTGATTGCGAACTTTGTCCCTTCTTGTCACTTGGACCACCTTTCTCAGGTATCTCATTTCCGAGGCCTGCAGCTGGCTTCTGTGAGCTGTTGTCATTGCCCATGACTCACACCCATAGGTCAGGACTGGTACATAGGTAGAGCGGTAAACAGCCATTTTCGTCCTCTTGCCAATTTCTCTTTTGCTAAGAAACCCTCGGTTTATGGCCTGGAAGAGTCTCCCAGCAGCTGCTTTTCGTGTAGCCAGCTCAGTCTTAATGCCTCCATTTTGGTCTAATACAACTCCAAGGTATTTGAACTGGTTAACCTGCTCCAACGCATACTGACCCATCATGATCTGGTGTTTCTTCTCCTCTCTTGAGATCACCATGGTTTTAGTTTTGGAGACACTGATGGTCATCCCTTTCTTTTCAAGCTCTTCCTTCGAGACAAGTAAGTTGGACTGAAGGTGTGCCTCTGATTTAGCTATCAGGGCCACATCGTCTGCAAAAGCCAGCTCTGATATACAGATTGGTCTCATCTTCCAGTACCCTACAGAGTACTTCTTTGTCTTCTCCTTACAGGTCTTGATGACATCATCCATCATAAGAATGAAGAGGTAAGGTGAGAGAATATCACCTTGTCTAACACCGCTGGTGGTCTTAAATTCTTCTGACTTTTGGTCTGCTGTTCTTACATAATTTCTGCACTTTTCGTAGAAACTCTGTATTGCACTGATCAGGGGTGCTGGGATGTTTTTCCCTGCCAAGCAGTCCCAGAGCTTGTTCCAGGGTACCTTGTCAAATGCCTTTTCCAGATCCAAAAAACATAAGTGAATCTCACTCTTATATTCCAGGGCTTTTTCACTCATCTGTCTCAGTGTGAAGATAAGGTCTTGAGTACTTCGGTTTGCTCTGAAGCCGCACTGGGCCTCGTCCAGCTGTGGCTCTACCAGACTTCTAAGTCTCTGCTCAAGAATTCTAGAGTAACTTTTACCGGGAATGCTGAGGAGGGATATGCCTCTGTGGTTTTCACATTGTCTGTTATCACCTTTTTTTAATATAGGTATAATGATGGCAATCTCCCAATCTTTTGGTATAGTTTTGCTACACCAGGCTGCCTGGAGAACCTTCAGTAGAAGGCGCTCACCTTCGACTCCCATATATTTGACCATCTCTGGTGTTATACAATCATGACCTGCTGCTTTTCCCAGCTTAATCTTCTCAATAGCTGCCTTCAATTCTTCCATCCTGATGTTATCTTCCCCATGATTGAATTCCTTCTCAGCAGTGAGGTCCATTATTTCTGGGTCATGACTTCCCTCAGCGCCGAGGAGCTCTGAGAAGTATTCTTTCCATCTGCCCATGATATCATTTGTAGAAGTAAGCAGAGCCCCTTCCTTGTCTTTTATGAATTTAAGTGGGCACTCTTTCTCCTTCCTCATGTTCGTAAGGGTCTTGTAGAACAGTTTTTGGTTTTCTCTTGCATTCTTTTCCAACTTTTCTCCAAACTCTTCCCATGATTTCTGTTTTGCTTTAAGCACAATATTTTTGGTCTCTGTTCTGAGTGCCACATATTGTTTATATTTTTCTATTTCTTCAGCTGTGTTCCTGGCTGCCAGGTATTGCTTCCATGCCCTTTTCTCTTTTCTCCTATTTTCAATTTGACTTCTTCTGTCCACCAAGGTGTCCTGGGTCCCCGCCTTCCACTTGGGACTTCACCACATGCTTCTACTGCAGCTGCTGTGAGGATATTCTTGAATCTGCACCAGAGAGTTTCAGTGTCCTCTGATGATTCTTCTTCAGTTCCTATTGCTTTCACTATAAGCTCCTGGTATCTAGCCTTAATATCTGGCTCTCTTAGCTTGTATGCTTTAATCCTCATCCCTTCTTGGTTGCTTGGTTTCTTGCATAGTTGTCGGTGTTGCCTTGTTGGAGCAGTTCTTTCAGTTGTTCTCTTTATTGTGACCAGATAGTGGTCACTTCCAATCTCTGGTCCTCTCATGACTCTGGCATCTCTCACAAACTTGAATGAACTTTTCCTAACTATGGCATAGTCAATGATGGATTTTTCATTCTTTGAAGGTTCACATCTTGTGTATGCATGTATACGCTTGTGGGGGAATTTTGTGTTTGTAATGACAAGGTTCTGTTCCCTGCAGAATCTGAGAAGTCGCTTGCCATTATCATTCAAAACATCTTCACCATATCTCCCGATCACTCCACCCCATCTAGAGTGATCATTTCCTACTCTGGCATTTAGATCTCCTAGGAGGATAATTTCATCGTGACAGTCATCTATGGTCTTTTGGAGCAGTTCAAAGAATTCTTCTTTAACATCTACTCGCTCATCTTCATTTGGCCCATACACAATGACAAAATTGACAATTTTATCTTCTTCTTTCAGATCTAACACCATTATTCGCTCTGAGATGAATTTCCATCCCTTGATGTTACTAACTTGATTCCTGGCCACAATACAGCCAACACCTCCCTTGGCTCTCTCCGTCATAGGGACACCACTGTAGAGCAGCATACTTCCATCGTGATCTGTGATTCCTTGCCCCTTTTTCTTGGTTTCAGTCAGAGCCAAGACTCCTAATTTTGCTTTCCTCATCTCCCCTACTAACTCGTTTTCCTTTCCGTTAATGCCTCTTATATTCCATGTTCCATAAATCGTAGTCCGTAAGCCATGCCAGTTCGTCGCCGTTAAGATCCGTCCGGTTTTCTCTCTGTAGTTACTTGTAATCGTGGTTTAAGGCAAACAGGTGATTGGCCTGTTGTGCCTTTGCATGGTGGAGGGGCTGCCTCCTTGCGGCCTCCATGCAGGCCGTCTGGCTGATTCACGGTTACCCACTACTTCCGGAGACGCATGAAGCACTCAGGTTCAGCCAGACCCTCCTCCTTTTACAGCCGGGCTTGGGACCGGTCTTAGCGGAGTTCATCTTATTTAAGCATGTAATAAAGTCTGAAGTAAATAGCCTATTTATTTGCCATACAGCAAACTGGATTTATGATGCAAGCACACGAGGCATATGGTGCTATTGCCACATTTTGACAGACCAGTTGGCACTCAGTAAAAGAGTAGACCGTAAGGCAGACAAAGAAGACTGGAGAGATCATTTACAGGCACACTTGGAGTCACCAATTGGAAGGAGAAGGCCAATCACAGGGATGAATGGTGGCAGATGATATCTACATCAGTGAATCTCAAGGGCTTGGAATGCTGAAGAAGAAATAAACACTCACTGGGTGATATGATTAACATCACTTAAGCGCTTTGTTTGTGTGGGTTTTCCAGACCCCATTTAGGAGCCGACAGTGCATACAGATAAGCCTCATCTATCAAATGGATGTGCATACAAAACTCAGGTTCTGCATAGAAGTGGAAAACAACGAGAACTGACCGCTGGAGTTTACAGCTGGGGTGAATGCTAAAAAGAAATAGAAGACACGCAGTTTACAGATTACAATAACACATTTAATAATACATTTTTGCCTTAATTTTTTTGTTAATTTCAGCATCAATAAGAGCTCTAGCTTTGTTGTCCTCATGGGGAAGCCTGGCAATATCACTGACTTCCTACCACAAGTCCTTGCGGAACTCTCATGAAGAAAAGGCAAAAATGTCCTTGAAGAGCCTCCCTTTTTATTTCATCTGGAGAGCATGTGAGACGGGCGGTCGAATTTTGTGCATATCCATGTTTGCTTCTGCTTTCAGACTGTGGGTGTTTGGACCTATAGCTTTCCATTGGGCCTTCATGTCTGGCTGGCTAATTATCCAGCGAACTGCGTTCTATAAAAATAAATGCTTGGAGAAAGTGTTTAATGTCATTTGTGGCTATGTCATGATATTCTGTTTTTTGAATGTCAGAGAGGGCCAGACCCGGTTTCGTTTTATGCTGTTTTATATTATACTTTACATAGAAAATTTTATGATGTTAGGTCTGTGGTTCCGTTACACACAGGATCTGGGCGCATGGTTCCATCTTTGGGGTTTTATAGTCATACTGCTACTGTTTGTTTTTCATGTGGTTTTCCAGCTTCTCTATTACATGTTTTTTCACCCGACAAGGAATATAAAAATGTGTCCCCCTTGCAGTAAGTCAATTATATGTAGCTCTATATGTTACGAAGTACAGCCGAGTGTAGCTGAATCTGATAGCAAGAGTGAGAGATTAGCTATTGAGGAAATAGTTGTAGTGAGCAAAGTGCGCCAGACCGAAGGAAATGATTGATGTAATGCTGGAGCATGAACGCCTGTGATCAGGCCTCAATACTTGCAAAATGAACTGGTCATTTATAAGAGTGGAGAGATAATTATTATATGTGGCATCTAAACAAACACAACATCGGCAGTCATAATTTCTGAAAATGTTACAGACAATGATACTTAATGAGAATAGAAAGATAAATATTATGTGTGTCATGTGACAAAAGATAATGCTGGCTGTGATAATTTATGAGAATGGAAAAATAATTATTAGTGGGACATCTAACAGAACACATTACTGCTAGTGATAATTGTGGCAATATTCATTGCCAGAACTGTGTACACATAACTTTGTATAAGATTTTTACCATACATCATATAATTGTCTCTCCATGATTGCTTTTTTTTTTTTCTTTTTCGAAGTTATTCCCAAGAATGCCGGTGAAAATTGGAGACCAACTACAGATATGGAATGCAAGTTAAATGAATTAAAAACAAATGACTAAGGTAATAGATAAACATATGAACATTAATGGGATGAATCCAAGAAAAGCGAAGACAGAAAATTGTATGGACAGCCATTAATGTCAACAGTGTTTATGAGAAAGAAAATGGTAAGATACTTTTGGCACATTCAGAGACAGTGCGGACAAAGAAGGCACTGAAATGAGAACAACTGGATGTAAGAGGCGAGGATGCCCAAGAGAAAGCTAACAACGGATGTTATTTAGAGAGGCCAGAGGTTTGGACTGGATTTCATAATTGATATTGAAAGTATTGTACAGGTTGGAGCGCAGTAGAGTAATCCACTGCCACCTGAAAGTGACATATAAATAGCACAAGAGGATGATGATGATAATGATTCTCACAGTTATGTTGAAAACAATCAGTGAATGGAATTGTGCTATTAAGTCAAACATTAAAATGTCTGTCACCTAAAGAAATGCATTTCCTTTCAGTAAGGATCCTTACAGTATGTTTTGAAATATAATAATGTAATTATTTTATTATTTGCCCTCTGATTAAGCTGGGTGCATTCACTGCTGAACAGTAACTTCAAACATATTGTCTATCATGACATCTTTTATGGACTTGGCATATGGCATTCAGTTTGTGGGTATAGTAGCTAACAGATGAACAGCTATGCAGATCCTTCTTTTGTTGTTTTTGTGTGTCTGTTTAAATGGTAATGCACTAATTAAATGTATTCAGTGTATGATAATGTACAAAGGGAAATAAATCTAGACAAAGACACATACAAACAAAAATCAATAATCAGCTCAAGGATGTGAACCTGTTACTGCCTGCCACAATGCTATTATGCCAGATTGTAATTTTGATTTTAAGTATCAAATGACAGCGGATTCTAGTCTGAAACAAAATACTGAACTCTAATGTCAGATCTGTATTTCTGTACTCTCGGTATTTGACAAGAACTAACTGAAAAAAGACCCATATCTACAGACTTAAATCAGTCCTCCTAGCATATTAAGTATTATTTAGTTTCGTCCTTTTTAGGACGAAATTTTTTGTTATTTGAAGCCCCACCCTGGCTTTTGCCAGGGGCCGCAATATAGGCAGGCCATAAATATGGCCAAGTGTCTGAACGCGGTTTCTGGGACCTCTCCACGGCGATCCTCATCCATATGGTGGCACTTTGTGTCATCGGGTGTTTATCGCTTGTGTGATGTCCTGGTGGGGTAGAAAGTCAGTCAGTCAGTCAGTCAGTCCTCCTAGCCATACCATGTTCTAAACAGGACAGCATTATATATTGGATTTAAAAAAAACAAAAACAAATGGTGTCTACAAAGAGTAGAACTGGTCCTGCAGTGGACTGCAGCCCACTGTTGTATACATAGGAAAGAAATGACAGATAAACTTGCAAAGGCTGCAGAGAACCTTGTGCAACCCCTTCAGAAAACCTTGTGCAACCCCTTCAGAGAACCTTGTGCAACCCCTTCAGAGAACCTTGTGCAACCCCTTCAGAAAACCTTGTGCAACCCCTTCAGAAAACCTTGTGCAACCCCTTCAGAAAACCTTGTGCAACCCCTTCAGAAAACCTTGTGCAACTCCTTCAGAAAACCTTGTGCAGCCCCTTCCATCTTAGAACTGTAAGGAGTTCAAGACACTTATAAAAGCAGTCTATGAAAATGAATTGGTGAGAATGAAATGAAAATTACATACCAGAGTGTGACGGTATGACCACATAAACATCATCAGATGTATAGAATTTCCCAAATAAATATTTCCTTTCTCTTCCCCCCCCCCCATCCCCCAATGAAGCATAGATCCAAAACCAGCTCAAGCCAGTGTAATCCTATCCTTTGCTATTGCTTGCAGCTCACCCTTCTCCATCTTATTTGTTCTGTATGTGTGGTATTCATTACTTGTAAACCTGAGATGTATAGATTGCTCCATATATATGAGAACTTTACTTAACACCTCAGATGTGTAGAATGTTCCATACACATGTTGAGATACATGACTTGTAAGCATCAGATATATACGATATGACACACTTGTATCCACGCACGCATGCGTGTGCGCACGCGCGCACACACACACACAGTCAATAAAAATGGGATGTATTACTCGTAACCATCAGATTTGTCCCGGTAGGGCCCACCTTGAGCCCTAGTGCACCATCTCTAATGGTCCGGTCCTTCACCAATTACAGGAAAAATGTAACTTCCTTTAAGGGTTCATTCACATTCCACTGTCCTCTTATTATTAATATTGTAAAAATATTGTACATGACATTTCTGCTCAAATGTAATAAAAATATTGTAATATAGATTTGTCATGTCCTGCAGGAGGAACGGCTACAGTTTGTGTGAGATCATTTTGACAGAAATTACACCATTTTTGGTGTGCAATTGTGGTCTGTTTTCACAGTTCTGTACTTGACATTTTTTTTAAATATGGGAAAGTCATAATTTGTATGATGTTTTACAATATTGATATGTGTGTGTGTGTGTGCATGCGCGCGTGCACACGTTTTGTGTGTGTGTGTGTGCATACATTGATTGAAGAGAAAAGTATTTGTCCCTGTCACAATGAAAGGAAAGAAAGAAAAGACATTTAAATTGTTCACAACCACTTGTACAGTTGATCTATCATGCTAGAAGCATAAACATAGAAAGGTTTTTGTCTGTGTTAGATATAACTGGTTGGAGAACCTAATGAGAGATGCTGAGTACCAGCACATTTGATCCTCTTGATTAAAACACACCACAGACAACCAGCAGTTGGTGATACGCCAGACTGGCTTGAATTGCAAATAGAAATAAGGCAAGGATTTCATTTCTTCCTGTTATCTGTTCACTAAGTATGCTGAATACAAATGTGACAATTTTGACAAATCTAATGTGTAAAAGCAGACGTACAGACAGTTGTTTTTTGTTTATCAATTTTTTTTATGATTACTTTTTCAGATGTTTCTGAAACAAATATAACTGTACCAGTTCTTGATTAAGTATCAGAGAAATGTTATTTTACACATGTATGACACTTCTCTCCTCCATTACAGTTTGTTACGCCACTGAAAATTAATGGTTTTGTGATAGATGAGCGATGGTTAAGTGAAAGAAGAGGCCCATTCATAAATTATAATTGTGAGACAGAACAAGAAGAATCCCAGAAAGTTTTGGAGCAGATGTTCAAAGGGAAGTAACTAATGGGGAAAATCAACAACATACTACCTTCAAAAAGACCAAATACACAGCAAAAGTAAAAGCTAGGAGGTGCCAGATTTCATTAGTATGTTCTGTCCAAATACAAAATTTAAGAGAACACACCACACAATGGTTGGGATGCATAGGGAAGACTATTACCACACATGATATGTTGGTGGGGGGGGGGGGGGTAGCTGAGTGGTCTCGAGGCATGACGTCCAGCCATGTCCGGCAGTTGGAAATCCTAACGAGTAGCCTAAGGCCCTGCTGGACAAAATTTGGAGTTCAAAATCTACCCAAGTATTTCAGGATCCTTGCCGGTGCTATAGAGTTCATTTACTGCACTGAGGTTCTTCGGACTCAGGTTTCAGTTAGAAGTAGAATGGAGCACTTATGGGTTACCACCCTTGTGCCATGATGCTGATCCATTGTATAAACAAACAGTGAAATGTTGGTTTGGACTGAAAGAGTTAATTAATTAAAACATATTGAACAGGTTAACAAACTAGATTGCTCACTTCATGCAGCCCATTTTCTGAAGTACTCCATAATTGTATTGTATTTGTACTGTGTCATAGGATAGATTTTTGTTGTGATAAAGCGAGAATACCCCAAAGTCTTTTCTATTTATTTAGTAGAAATTTGGTGAGTTTGAATTTTTTCTCATGGCAGGTTGTAGAAATATTTGTCTTTGTAGCAAATGAACTGAACTGTGACGTAGTATTTGACTGATCTGTGATAAATATACAGTTATGATTTGATGTGAAAATTATTGTTTCTTAGCTGTGAGCTTAACATGTCTTTTATATCCAGTATCTACCACATGTGGGTTCTGGGGCCCAGTAAGGGAGATGTGTGTGATTGTGGGTGGGGGAAATAGACCCATTGTGCCCCACCCCCTCTCTCAACAAGCATGTCATACAATTTTAAATTTTAATTCTTCAAGACCAGAGTGCATCTGCCTTAGTTAGGAGGAACCAACAGTCTGCATAAAAATAAGCCAGATCTGTAACACGGATGTGCACACAAAACTCAAGTTCTGAAACAAGTCCAAAGTTAGTTAGCTAGTTAGTTATTCGACAGATTATCCTCATTGCAGGTCGAACCCCTCAGTCCATAAGTGCTCGGATCCCCTCCTCAGTAAATCCTGCAGCGTGTAGCGGCTAACGACACCAGTTCTGAGTTGGTTTATTATTATTCTTTGACTACCCGCGTAGTGTTCTTGTTTGGTGACACCCCGTTAAACCTGTTGTTCTTGCAGTCTGATCATGGTTGCAGATTCACAGTTCTCAGTTGGTTCACACAAACATCTGAACTCTCTTAGAGCATTCAGTATATCAGCCTGGTCCAT